AAATATCATTCATTTGGTTTTGGCTTAGCAGATCATTTAAACTCAACCATTATGGTTCATAAACCTTGGTGTGTTGTGCGAACCAGTGAATTATGGATTCGTGCTTAAACAATCTGTAACTTCTTCTTCCAGCAAATTCCAACTGCATCAACTCTCTTCCTGATGTGGAAATGAAGATTAAAGAGTCATTTCCATTTCAAATAATGGACTCTGTCAGCCAGGGCACTGGGTTCAAGTGCTGCAGTACTCGAGCCTGAGATGATCCCCCTTTTGTCTCCAATCTTTTTAGGAAGAAGGGATGGCCTGTAGCACATTCTTCCACATGAGCTTAAGTGAAACGGATGCACGTGGCTAAGCCCCTGCACAGATTGTAGGCTTTTGAGTGGGGCTTGTCCAGAAGAACTTGGGTCAGGCCTGTGTCCTCCTTCTGTTTCTGTTTGTGGCTCTAGTTCCACCCAGTAGTTCTCACTGTCTGTTATTGTCACTGTTGTAAGTGCCTGGGGAGCAGGTCACTTATAAAGTAAATGTTGAGATCTATTTTAAATGTTCCTTTTATTAGAAGGCTAGAGCTAATTTAACTTGTATTCCTTATTGTAATGCTTTTTATATTGAAAGGGATTTTTTGTAACATAAAACAGGATGCTATTCTGAAGCATTTGCACAGTTTCTGTGTGCATTTCTTAAAAAAATGAAAAGACAAAAATAAAGACACTGTGACAACAAAGCTTTACTTTCCACAATTCACGGCTTGCGTGTTTTTCTTTTTGAAATTGAAGTGTAATGGCCTTTTTCCTCACAAAAGAAATATCATGTTTATACTGCCATAGTGAGGTTTAAACTTCAAACGTTAGAACGTGTTATTTTGAGTTGAAAATAGAAAACAATTAGCGCCCTATTCAGAATTATGAAATCCAGTGTGTTCACCATGTTTTTGAGGTATGCTTCATCTTCAGACATCACACAAAGTGTTGTTGGCTTCTTGAAAGCATTTGCACATTCACTGTAAAAGCCTGCAGGAGGCCAGTATGTATACAATGTATTGAAGACATTCTTGAATACACAATTGTTCTCAGGTTGTCAAGATCATTTGAATAATGTTGGCACAGGATGCTCAAAGGCTCAAAGGCTACATGTTCTCCAACCAGAGCTTTTATATTTTTATTCTTCTTAAGGTTAGCATATTAAATATTT